AATGGCAGCCTAAGAGTCGCATGTCATAAAGAGATCCAGTCAGTCTGGGCTAGGTGACTTTTATCGGTATCATCCAGAATATCCACATTTAATCAGTGAATTTCTCTTATATTCATACGCTGCATGCACAGCCGCCGAAACCCCCAAAGTAGATTAACAAATACATAAAAAAAGAACTAGACTACTGAAGCAAACCTATGCAACTTTTTACTGTGAGACAAATTCATTGTCGGTGTTCATTAGATTATCATAACCACTGCACTGCACTTTAGATGGCGCTAGTGAATAGTTTACTAAGTGATCGGACGACGATGACTTACCGGCCATTTCTCTCGTTGGGCATCCGAACACTTGGAATGTTCTACTCAATTGGTCTAAATCACTCTCTCCTGGCAGAAAGGGGACCTGTGAAGAAGAAATCATCACAAATGAACCCAAGCAAATAGTTATATAATAATATATATAAATAGTCATGTCATATAAGTTTTTAGCACTGAAACAGATTATAGTTATGCGAGAGAGAGAGAGAGAGAGAGAGAGAGAAGAGAGAGAGAGAGAGAGAAGATAGAGAGAGAGAGAGAGAGGAGAGAGAGAGAGCGAGAGAGAGAAGAGAGAGAGAGAGAGAGAGAAAGAGAGAGAGAGAGTAGAGCAGAGAAAGAGAGAGAGAGATCGGTGAAAATACCAGATCTTCACCGCTCATTATCTCAGCATAGGGGCATCGTAGGGACATGCGGTTTGTTTTATATGAACAAGGTAAGACAGCTAATCAATAATACTGCAAAGGATCGTCAAAATAAAACGGGAAAAGTTTATTAATTCGACTAATACTGCAGCATGGTTTCAGCATTTTACCCTTGTATGCTCTCCTTCTTTATCTGCTCTTGATTACATGCAATAAAGATTTAATAATAATAATAATCATAATAATAATGCGGCTTTTGTTTTTTTCATCTCGGGAGCAGGGCGTCACGAGGCTGCCGGACTACGTTCAGTTCAAGGACTTCCCCGTCGTCCCGCTGAGTGACATCTTCACGGCAGCGGGAGACGACTTGCTAGAGATCCTCGCCTCCCTGCTCGACGTCAACCCCAACGCCAGGTGCACCGCCACCGAGGTGAGCGCCCTCTAGCGGCAGTCGGCAGCACGGGAATCGAGCGTCGGGGTTCGGACGCTGACGGTGTGCGTGGGTGGTGTCGGAGGCGAGGGCAAGTCGTCGCGAGTGATCGGTCGTGGGCGGGTCGCATGCATGCAGGAATCGAGCCGTGTAGACGTCGTCGCCACGAGATTTTTGTGTGAGGTGGTTGTGCGTCGCGTGATGGAGAAGAAGCGGACGGAGAACGTCCTCTGGCAGAGGGTCGAGGTCGGACGTTGTCGCCGTGAGATGTTTTGCTAAAGTTGCCGCTGGTCGCACGTCGGGGGAGGTATCGAATGGAGAACGTCCTCTGGCGGCAGATCTTGGGTCGCGCGCGGGAAAGCGAGCATCCGGGTTCGGACGTTGTAGTCGCCGAGATTTTTTGCTAAAGTTGCCGCGTCGGCAAGGAATCAGACGGCAGTCTGCTGTGAACGTTTGGCGGGAAATTAGAGTTCTCGCTCGACACGGAAATTGTTCTCGAACGGTGGAGTCGATAATGCGAGCAATGTAACGAATGGATGATTTCTTTAAGTGGTTGAAAAAATTCGAAAAGTTGGTTCCATTTGACTTCTCTGGCAAGAGAAGGTGAATGCTTGCATTACACAGTTCAATTGTCAACTTGAATTTCGAGTAAAATTAAATTAAATTGTCGTAATTCGCAAAATACGAAGTCGGTAATCCGACCACGAAAGATGAACGGAAACAACCACTGACGATAACTCAACGGTTCGCATTTCCCACCCAGCACGTTGAAAGATTTCTCTGCTGATTAATTAATTAAACTAATCAGCATTGTGACCCGCACGCGCTCCTAACGATTCCGCGTTAATTGCTCTAATTGCAGGCGCTGAAGATGCCTTACTTCAGCAACAAGCCGCCGCCTACTCCCTGCCACCTGCTTCCGATGCCGGACTCCGTGACTTCGGAGATCGTCAAGGAAACGGACACGCGACTCGGAAAGCGGAAGATGGACATGGACAACACGGGTGAGACTGCCGGGATTTCTCCGGGAATATCGGGAATTCTCCCGGTGGGGGGGGGGAGGATTGTTGGTGTTGTGCCATTACGGACGAACCCGTGTTAGTGGATGCCCTCTGCAGAGTTGATGCCTGTCTATAACGGACACTTCTTGGCATTTTTCTTGAGTGGGCGGTCATGCAGTGAAATGACCTCTATAGATGTATAATGACCTCTATAGATGCATAATGTGTCTACAAAGGATGATTGGCTTTGACTTTCAGTGACCCTTAGATAGATAGACTTTTCAAGGTATTTTTAACGAAAAAAGTGCACATTATAAGGTGCAAAGTACGGTGTATTTGTCTATGTTTATATATGTATGTACGTACATGTATGCACACGGGTAGCTGGAAGAAGCTTTACCATGTTTAGCATACACATTTCGAACACGTTGTTTGCAAACAAGTAGAGACAACAAGAGTACAGTCGTTAATGAGCCCGCAATTAATCGACTAATTAAGACAAAGCGATGTTCGCGTGGGTTTCAACTTCAGTTAATAACGGCGTGACGGTGGCTAATTAATTAGCGTTAATCGGTCATCGGCTAATGATGCTTTTAATTATTGCAGAGCTATTACGGCTAATTGCGCACGTGTCGTTGCAGGCGGCCTGGCTAAGAAGCTGGTCTTCTGAGCTGGGAATGATGAAGAACGTTGGTTGTGTGGAACCGCCTTGCAAACCGGGATGGCTGGACCAGACCTCGCCCACCGATAACATCCCGTCATTTCCAGACATCACCCACCGATAAGGCCGTATTACGAGCGGGCATCAGCCGCTGACGAAGCCCCCGACTCGTAGTGTGTTACAGCGTGATGTTGTTGTCGGTGAACTCATAGCAAACCATATCGCAGGAGTGTACCTCGGTACAATAGCTGGCGCGCTGTCTCACGTGGAACAGTCAGCCGAAACAGCGTCAAGCACCGTTGATGGTAGGGTGATATTTTTAGTGTGGTGCGAAGATCGGTCAGCAAGCAGGTGTTACGATGCGCGTATATGTTACAATGCCTGGAAACGTGCGGGCGGATAATCTCTGTGATATTGTTGTTACTCGAGTGTGAATGATGTAGACAGCGGTTGGTGTCCTACGCAGTAGAACGAGTCGGGAACGTATCCCCCATTTAATTTCACGCAATTGTTTTGGTTTTCTAGTGTCACTCGTTGAATCCACTCGACTGTCGCAAACATTAATGAGGGGCAATGGCGAGAGTAGTAGTGTGAAGCAAGACTTGAGATATCTGATAGATTTGAAAATGTTTCATACCGATTGCAATTGCCTGTGATGTATGTTTAATTATAGTGTCACATATTTTTTGCACTGAAGCCAATTTTAAAAGATATTTTTTGTAATAATATTAAAAAAATACCATTAGACAAACTGCCGAGTGTGTACAAAACCAAAACGAAACGAAAGCATTTATCGAATGAAAATTAAAACACAAGTTTAATGAACCTTCCTTCCAGAAAATACATTCGGAACAAAACTAATGAGTGAGTGTGATTAAACAGGACGATAATAGGTGGTGATCACAAAACTCAGTGTTCAGCCAGTACTGGAAATACATCACGCTCTTACTCGCATTGCTTGCGATACATGATATCTGAGTGCTACGGTTATTTCTCGTAGCAACGGTCTGCGCAACGGAGTATCATTCTAAACGTTCCATCATCGCGCGGCGTTTATTTTCACCGTACTCCAAAGCCACGGACGAGCCACGATTCCACGACAAACTGATTACACTCGAACAACCTCACGAAACGAGTTATTACATTCTAGAACACGACTACTACATTCACACCCCTCTCCTTCCTTCCTCCTCCTCTTTCTCCTCGATCGCATTCCGGAACACGAGCGTTACGTAGCGAGCGGAACGATGCGAACGAACGCGTTTACGTTTAAAAAAAGAAAAATTGTACAAGAGGTGCGTGTGCCGTACGGCTGGAATCTCGCGCGCACTTGATCGATCGATGACGACTGGTGTCTCGGACGTGCCGGACGGCGTTCGTCCCCCCGCAGTCTCGTCCTCGCTGGACTCTAGTCTCTGCGTCGTCTCCGGCCTGGGGAACCATCTCTTCGTCGGCCCCTGCGCGAGAAAAATTCCCCGTGAGTACAACCCACAGTCTTCGCTCTTGTAGACATCTTCGCATTTCGCAAATCTGGTCGCAATTCGTCGTCGCGAGGAAACGATGGTTGACCACGACCATCGCGGGCTGAGAATGCTGCAAGTTTTTCACGTTACTTCATTTTTCGAAAGTTATGGCGATTGGATTCGGACTTCGGGCATCATTTACCATTCGTGGTTTTGGGGTTGTGATTTCGGTACACTG